TTAATCTAAAAAATGTTAATACTTTATAATGTTTTTGTTAAAAATAAAAAACATGTTTTGTTCCTATTAGTGAATCCTCCAAGTAATGACCTATTAATGTATCCTCAATTTGTGTGCCTATCCACATTTGACTCATTTTAACATATAGTTACTAAAACAGGTAATAAATTTAATTGTCTAAGTTAATATTACATAAATTATTATTTTAATTATATTTATTTCGATGTACACTCATAACAACGTTCTCATCTCCAATATAGGACACATTAATAGAGACAAGCTTAAAATCTTACGGTACGTATTACTGGATTCATATAAATTCCTCATATCTTTTGAAAAATATTTAAAATACTTTAATGCTCAAAAAATAAAATATTATTTTCGGTATCGTATGCATTAATAATTTAACTTAACAAGATAAAATATTTTTTCTTATTTATTCGCTAGTTTTCTTTATGACCGATCGAAATACAAGAGCACACTAATAGGGATGGTTACCCTAATATTAAAAAATGATCGCACATGATGGACGTTCTATTGCGGAATGTATGCTCAGGGACGAGATGCTTGTTAATTTGATGTTGAGACTCGGGCTGACGGAAGAGGGATGAAGCTGACGCAAGATCGAGAATATCATCGAAAATACTATCTCGTGTTTTACTCCTACGGAGGACAAGTTATGCGAAAACACAGCTGCTTCCTGAAAGCACGTAATAGAACGCTCGCAATTTCATGGCATGCTTGGCGGCAGTCGTAAAAATAGACAAGGATGAATATTCACGCCGACTTTGTTTACGAGGAATCTCTTAGGGACTCCTAGAAAACAGTTTAAATTCGTAGCTCTAAACGAGCGGTAATTTAATAACCGTAAAGTAGCAGACTATTCTTATACTGGCTAATAATTTAATCAATGCATGCGAGACCGACAACAAAGCAGTCAAACATAGTTACAAAATAACTAGTAAAATTGCCCGCGCAATATGTGACCTCTGGAAATTATTTATATAAAAAGATAAAGATACATGAAAGAAAATAAATATTGCGGCTTGTGTTTTTCAGTTTCGCAACTCACATAATAATATTGAACTGTGTCGAGTGTCGATTATCGATTTTTTTTTACATTGTTACTACAATTGGACTTTAAAACTGGACAAAAAAAAATTATGTGAATGTAAGCGATTAAATTAGATGACTATCTGATTTGTCACCTGATTACTAAGTCATCACGATTGCTTATCAGGTGGGATATGTGATGTGGATGAGGCACGTGACAGAGACCAAAAATCGAAGACCAATTTAACCACGATAATATTATCTAAACTAGTACCACGACGTTTTCATTCGGATGGAATTAATCTTGTACAAATTAATCTGCGTACCATTTGATTAATGGACTGGAATTATCGAGATTCGAGCAAGCAAACGAGATAGAAAAACACATTTTGACTTTATTTAAGATAAATCAAACCTGAAGATTTTGCTGAAAGGTCTAAAATTTTGCTGAATATAGATCTAAAAGTAGTTTCGTTGGATCATCAAAATAATTTTATTGGAATTTTAAATTTATTACTAAAATGTCAAAGTTTTTTTTGCAGCATTATTTATCAACTTTTAGTCTCCAATAATTATTTTAATGGTTCATTAAAATTACTTTCAGATTAAATTAATTCAATTACTTTCTGTATCCTGCAAAATTTATTTAAATCTTTCAGCAAAATCGTTCTTTCCATACGTAAATATACATATGTATGATAACGATATGCTTATATCGTTATCGACGATGATACTCACACATCCCGTAAAAGCACGTTATGAGGATTATCATAAAAGTTGCGTAAAACTCGGAAGTGGTTCGTGCGCGTTCATCATCGATCGTCCGGAAATAAAAAAAATGGAGGTTACATCACACAGCAACAATGATTTTGCAGATGCGATAAAAAATTTAACTAGATACAGATCTAAAAATAATTTTGTTGAACTATTAAAATAACTATGTAGGATGCTCAAACTGTTATTATAGAATATTAAAACTAATATTACTTTTTGCAGCAATTACTCATCATACTTGAGTTATTACATAATTATTTTGATGATTCAACAATATTTATTTATCTATTTATATACATAATTTCCAGAGATCATATATTGCATGCATAATCGTACTAGTTATTTTGTAACTAGATACGTTTTTAGCCAACTTATTCTTTCCGTGTTCTTGTTCTTTCAATTCCAAATACGTAAGAGAGAATTTATAATTTTAAAAAATATATTCTTAAATTCTTTGAAGTGAAATCTTACGCTCGGTCGAAAATTGAGTATATCTTTAAAAAGAATGGCTCAATTTTCAATCTTGAAGAATGAGATTTCACTCGGAGTGAAATTCACTTAAAAAATTTTAGACAATACACATATAATATATATATGTTGAAAAACTAGGAGTCTTAAGTTTTTCAAAAAAGTGTAAAATTACGTAGGAGAAATTTTTCTAAAAAAAAACTCCCCGTTTTCCACGTTACGCTGATCAGTTTTTCTTAACATATCACATTTCAATCATCACACATTTGGTACATACCATCTAAAGTTCCTTTACACAATTATCACATTACATAAAAACATGATCAATTATCCACAAGCACAAAAAGATCTCCACTCATCAATTTCACATTCGAATTGCCATTGACTTCTCACTAGTAAAAATCACGAGAAACTGACTGCTTGATATGGAGATCAGTCCCGTTAAAAGGAAGAATTCGACTTCTAGAAAACCAAGACTTCTAGATCCCCACGAAGACTCGATGATGTTATCTCGGAGCGAGATCGGCATACGATTAATCAGGTAAGGCGGACGATGGAATAAGAGGAAAAGAGCGAATAAAACAAACGCGTAAACAGAGAGGAGGAATTATGTGCTCGTCACTCTTAAATCCCGAAGACTAACCGACCAACCGGCAACGTTGAACACGATCACGCGACTCTTGTTTACCGTTTCTATCTGTCGTTAATATATTAACATATCTTCTTTCTCTGCGACATCTTTCTTTCTCTCGCACCGGCAACCAAGCGATCGGCCGACCTCAGTCGCTCCTTCACCAGCGCGTTATTGTAGCTCTATTTCTGCCGATGAGCCGAGAAAAGTCTCGGTAACTTTTCAAATGTGTGCCGGCCGGCATGTACAGGAGGAAAGCCGAGAACAATCGAAGAGCAATCAAACTTCGCATGTTAGGCACGTTAACAAGAGGTTCGTTCACGTTGCTTGCATTTTTTGCACTCACATCTTCACTTTTCTTTCCTTTCAATGCCCTATTTATTTCATTGGCTGCGTTCAGCGGACTCAACTGTTGAGTCAGCCATTCATTATCAAAACTTTTGGGGAGTTTCAAAGCAACGCGAATAGACCTAACATTGCCAGGATTGTGTTGTAAATTTCAAGATTACGCCTACACGAATTTCCGACATATTATTTAAATAATATTTATACGAACTTTTTGGATGTAGACAATACAAACATGTAATTTGGTTTGTTCGACTTGCTTACAGTTTTTACACTCAGTATCTTCGTTTTCTCTCTTTTCAGCGTCAAGTATATGTCTCATTTTAAGTGTAAAAAGTATAAAAAATTGTAAGCAGTCGAACAGACCTATTATACAGAATTGATAATATGAAGGGTGCAAAGTTCAGCTTAAAAAAAAAACAAGTATTATTTATTATAGCTTATTAAATAACTTATTGTAACAACTATTATATTATTTCCATTATTTCTAATTTCTATCCTAACAATATATGAATCTTTTATAAGTTACATAGTTTACATAGATGATAATTTTATATATAGTTTATCATAATTTTATATATTGTTTAGGCGTAATGTGGGCTATTTATATTTTACGCGTAAACGTACAACCTACCGCCGTATTTTAACTAGACAGAATTACCCTGAAAAAAGATTTATAACGGAATTAATGCCACGCGAGAATTTTTATCGCTCATTTCAATCCAAGAACGAAGGGATATTTCTGATATTCGGTATCGCTTAGATTTAAATGTATGTATATACGTAAAGCATTCGTGTCTATCAAATTCCAGTCAGTTTGAAAAATTAAAAGAGATTAATCCGAGAGTCATTTCATTTTTTATTATAAACGATCACCTTGGATGTTTTTACATCCTAATTAAAATAATTAGTATTAACATGTTGTATATTATTAATTGATCTTCGAATCGATTAATTCGAATTCATATTCATAATCACATTATGAATATGAATTCACTTATAATTTTCTAAAAAAAAGTCTAATCAAACAAATATTAAATGGAACAAATATGTTAAAACGACAGTATTTCTAAAAAAATCAAGATTTTAATTAATATAACGCTTTCTTATCGCAAGTTTTCGAAAAAATTGCATATTTAAAGATTCATAAAAAATAATTATGTAAGAGGAAAAAAAAATATATTAAAAAAGGAAGACTTTTCATTCACATTTTCTCACCTGGGATGTAAAAACATCTCAGGTGATAATAACCGGGAGAGTCTGTTCATAATCGAAACGTCGAAACAGACGAAACGACGAATAAAGAGGTCAATTATGGGCGACGATTAATGGCTGATTAACTAATATTGTAACGGTGCGAAAAACAAAATATGTAACGATAGCATGACGAAAGAACGTGACACATTTCGTAAAGCGATAGTTTTATCATCGCTTGAGCGCGTTTATCTAGTTTTAAAGGCATTTATGTGCGACAATTACAGATATGTGTATATCGAAATATACATATACATGAACCATTTTGTACAAATATTTGAGGTAACATGCGCAAGAGACTCTTGCGGAGAGAATGCGATTAACTTTAACAACTACACTTACCACGATGGAAATTTTTATCAGCGACACAAAGTGCTTAATATATCTCGCATGGAAAGTTTCAAACCGGGAAGTTATCAAGTTGATCTATAATACGCGTTTTTTTCAGGTTTAGATAGAAAGAAACATCTCTCGATCACAGAATCTAAAAAGTATATTTATCTCTTATAACAGAATCTGGCCACGTGTGATTGTGTCAAAATCCTACAAAAGAGAAAGATATATATATGTCTAATTGAATTAATTAAAATTCTGGTTGGAAATGAATAAATCAGAATTTTTTGGAATCTACTAAAATTTAATAGAGGCGAGATAACCGGAATATATTGTTATAATCAGAATCTTCTGGTTCGTCCAGAGCTTCAACCAGACATTTTCTCATTATCAGTATACTTTCTCTCTGTAAATATTATTTTATTCTAGTATTATCTTCTTACAATATCTTATACTATGTATCACTTTTTAATTTTAATTAAAGTTATGAGACAGTATAAATTAAAATGGGATAATATTCAGTAAAAATCTTGTTTTTAGAAAGTAAACATACGTATAATTAGCAACTTATTAAAAAAAATAATAAAATTGAATAATAAATTGCATAAAAAACTGTATAATTAGCAATGTATTAAAAAAAGTAATAACTGTTTATTCCTCAAAATTATCTTACTTGAAAACATGTGTAGTAATTAAAACATAATATCTTAAAAAAAGGAGAAAAATAAAAAATTGTAATTTGACACAAAAGTATTCGTACAGTTGAGAAACTTAGCTTCTAATTATAAGACCAAGAACAAGCAAAGCTCTTTTGTTTATACAAAGACAGAATATATACTTATAAAATTATTAATTAATGTTTATTCTCAAATAAAACTTTTTTTCATAAAAATTTCCTTTGTACGAATACTTTTTGTATTCATTGTATATACAAAAAAAATTGGTCTCTCTCTCTCTCTCTATATATATGTATATATATATCTATACACACACCTATATTATTATACCTTTCTCTCTATAATTTTGACAAACTCGCTCGCGACTCCATTATAGGGTCTCAAACAGGAACTTTCCACTTGTTGCGAGCCGGCACTCGTCGCCGGCGCCGGCTTGATTGTCCGCGTCGCGTCGAGAAACGTCGACGCTCTCCTCCGATTTCCGGAGTTCGGGATAGTCTCTCGGTCTACTGCATCTACCCTGAGAGCGAGAAAAGCGTCGACGCGATGGTTCGAACGGTCGCCGGACACTCGCACGTCCATCAGGTGACAACAGCGGGTCGATACATCGACGTGCGGCGTCCGACCTCGCTGCACCAAATGGAAAATTTCCCTCGAAAAAGACGAGCGAGAGACAAAGAGAAGAACGAAAAAAAAAAAAAAGAAAAAGAAATGAAGACTCACGTCATTCGGTCCAATTTGACCCATGCTGCCCATGCTGCAGGCACCACGATCAGCGATCGTATCCGCCGACTGCGGGTCGTTTTCGTTGGCAATGGGAATCTTGAAGGCCTTTTGATAAACACACTGACCAATAAAAAAATCTCGCAGGCACACCCCGACTGACGACTGTTCCTGATCTGCTATTCTCTTTCTCTCTCTTTCGATCGATTTATTTATCCCTGGCAGATCGCGCGAGCACGACGACGAGATTTCGCCGACGTGTGCGAGATTCCGACAATTTAGCGAACAATTATCAGTATTATCACCGGCGATTTGGCGAATCGGCTTCGACGCGACACGTCCGTGGGTTGTCACTATAAGTAACGAGGAATAACGTAGCGTGGTTACGATCAGTCATAATATATCACAAAAGGGAAGCCTGGAGCTCCTCCCGGAAACTCGGAGACGACGGAGACGGTGGAGGCGCGAATAGACGGGGGAAGGGAGAAGCGCGTCAATGCGTGTAAACGTATACCGGCACAACGGCGAGAAGGTCTCGGGAAAATGCGAGAGAATCGGGTTACGCTGAGTATTATAGGCACGGGTAGTCGGTCGAACGATGCAGCGAGACGATCCACTCTAAACGAGAGCCGGTTGCTAACTGACGCCGTCGAGCGATGCCAAGCGAGTCGAACCAAACCGCGATCATCTGGCCGGCTTGCCGGGCGTCGGAAAAGCGGGAGGGGTGGTGAGAAGGGGGGAGGGAGGGGGGGGTGGTAAGGATGGTTAGATCGCCGACTACACGGACACGAAGCCGTTATACGTGGTAGGGGAACGCACGCCGGCTTTACGCGGCTGTCATTGGTCGGGACACAGGGCTGTAACTGGCTGTACACGCTTGTGAGAGTCACGTCGATCTATCGATGTCGTATTTCGAGAGCATGTGCGGGACACGAGCAGATTTTTCGGGAGTCAACTCTCCGAGTTGACTCCGGTTCTAAAAAAACTATGTCCCCCTCGTTTCTTCCGCCACGTCCTTTGCCGCTTTCTCCTTAATTAATATACACCAGGACGCTCCGTTAAATGTTAGTTGAAATGAAATGAAATGAGTTAAATCAAGTTTAGTCGCTTTCCGAGCTCTCTCTTTCTCGCTCTGTCTTTCCTTTTCTTTAAAAGAAGAAATAGGAAGGGAAGAAATCAGTAATTTCAAATGACGTTTTACGCGCTGGAAACAGAATCTGGTTGTATTAATTGAAATTCCGGTTGAATCTATTATAATTTCAGTTGAATTAACCAGAATTTTTATTAGTATGATCAGAATTTTTCTGATTCGTTCATTTCAAAACGAAAATTTTTCTCACTGAGAACTATTGATAATTATTCAGAAAGAATGATTTTGTTGAAACATCTAAAAATTTAACTAGACGCAGATTGAAAATAATTTTGAGAGCAATACAATACAATACAATAAAGTTTTAACATATAATTATAAACAACTAGTTTCCTACATGATTATTTTTTATGTCCGACAAAATTACATATATTTTTCAGATTTGTATCTACCTAGAATTTTCAGATACTTCAACGAAAGTAATTTCCTTGTCTAAAATTATGACATAATAAATTATATCATTCAATTATTTTCGTAATCTTCCATCTTCCTCTTTGTTATCTGTACAAAATCAGCTGTCTCTTTCGTCGATTACGTCACTGGGCTTCAAATAACCGCGTTTGGAAGCTTCGATTTCGTTCTGCGTTACTGAATTTTATAATCAAACTTTCCGAATTTACATCTCCTCGAACTAACAATCCCTTGGAGGAATTCAAAATTGAATTGATTGAATTGATTACAAACATTTACGTACATTCCGTAGATACGAGGTGGAAAGATCGAAGATACACCCCTGCGCGCAGGCGGCCGGTCTGATCAGCTGATGCCCTAGCAACAGTGGTACTAACCGCGCTAAATACATCAGTCGTATCTCGTTATAGGCACAAAGCGGACTTATAACAACGGCAATGACAAGAGAGAAAGAGATAGAGAGGGAGGCTGTCACGAATGATAACTATAATTTCGTCATACGATTAAACGCATAATCGTCAGTGACGCGTACCGCTATATATTACCGATTTAAGGATCGAGGAACGAGGGACGAGACGAAACTTTTTCGCTGGTGAATCGCTTGCACAATTTCTCAAGTATTTTTAATTGAATTAAGTAGAATGAATCTTTACGGAATACATTGTTTAACAAAAGCGACAAAGAGAAGATATAAAAATAAATCAACGTACGTGCTAAAAATTTATGTTAACTAAGTATGTTAATAATAATTTTTTAAATTATATAATTGATATAATAATAATATGCAAATAAATTTTAAAGATACCGATACTGTAATAATAATGCTATATTAATTCTGTTTTAATGATATTATAAATATATTAAGAAAAATAAAAATGTTTCTCCTTTTTAGGGAGAATTAAATCACGTAAAGAAAACATTGCGTGAGATTGAGAAGAATTCATTGTCATAGCTTCGTAATACATATGAGTCAAGAGTCAAATATTACTCAATTGTGCGAAAATGCTTAAAGAATGCTTTGAACAAATCAGTATAAATAATCACTTGTCTCTTTTTATAGAAATAAATATACGGATATATTTATATTAACTATATCTGTATTAATAAAATATATCTAATTAAAATACTGCATTAAACTGGGCTGATTTATTGTATTAAAATATGGAGTTGATTACGTTCTTATAAATACCATGTCTCCTCGAAGAAGTCTTTCACAAGTGTATAATCTGACCTAAATAACTCTCATAAAAGTAATTTTGTGGATTGCTGATAAACTGTCTCACACCACTGAATTTCAATATACTTGGTATGCTTTCATCACATTTTTGATATATCATAAACATATTATGATGATTTACACCACTCATTAACGAGCTCTAATCTGCAGATAATACATCTTTCTACCAAAAAAATAACTTAATCAACGATACGACTCCGTACTGACAGAACGAAATAAAAATCAGTTCTACCTTTTAACTTTTAACCTTAAGAAACAAAAGTCAAGGGATAAATAACGCATCCGAGGTCTTACTCTATGATCCTGAAATTCAATTAAGTAAAGGAAACGTATCATTTGACATAACAGTTTCTTGCGTTGTAAATGTTGGGGTCAATGACACTACTCCCTTGCCTTGGTGCAGATTGGGGGATCGCGGACGAAATGGCACCATCCAAGACCTCCGATTCCTTCTTTCTTTGTCTCAAGGATACTACAAAATGAAAGCACTGAGGGACCGACCCTTCATTTCCGCGAGAGCCCTTTAACGAGTCTTTGTTACGCACATGAAATGTCGTGGCGTGAAAGACAGAGAGCGTATGTATGTATATATACATATATATATATATATATATATATGAGAAAGAAAGAAGAGGGAGAGGGAGAGAGAGGGAGAGGGGTAAGGAGGGAGGGAGAGAGATGGAAAGAGAAAAAAAGAAAAGAGAAAAACGTAAAATACATCCATAATCCCTGCGATAAACTACTGCGCAGAGATTATTCGTTTTGCACGTATTTGTTACATGTAAAACGTCACGGAGCGACGTGCGCAATATTAAATCACATCCGATTCGATTGCAGCAATCAGCGATTTTATTCTCGAATAATTCCGATAAGTAGTTGCAAACATTACGCATAGTTTTCATCAGTTTGTCCCGATCGGCTTTCATCGCGAAATCGAACGTTGGAATACAAAACGCGTTATGCAGATTTGTTAAGAAGCTACGAGGGACGACAGTTAAGAAAAGGTGATATGTCCTGTGTATTAATCATCGACGATGACGAATTTTCGTGGAATTCAACACGTCGAAAAGGTTGCGCGATTTTGATATTTCCCTATTCGAATTTCGTTAGACGTTTAATCGACGAGTTGAACAGGAAGTTTGACAATTACGGTCGCGTTTATGTGTATTGGCATGTGAAATGCAACTGAACCGACTTTTCTCGCAGACGAAACGGCATGATGAAATACGGTGACGATAACAGTTTCTTCAACCTGTCTGCCGCAAAACAGGTACTGGTCTCTAAGAAACGTGTTTCGTGTGTCACGTGGATTGGCAGACAAAATGATTAGAAAGATAGAAATTAACCCATTGAAAGAAATCGACACGAAAGCGTTCCACGAATTCAGTTCTTTACAGTTGGAGTTACGCAGTCGAACTGAAGCTGCCAGAGCTTCCATCTCGAAATACAAGAAAATATGATGTGAATATCGATTAAAGATATGCAGGATGTTTGATAAATAACGATAAAACTCTCGTATAAGAATAGGGCGAACTAAACTGAGTCGAAAAGTCCTCTACCATTTTACAATTTTCGCAATAGTTAACAAGATATTAATTACTAAAAATCGCCGAATATTGATTTTCAATAATTTTTTATTCAAGTACTTTCAAGTACTTTTAACAAAGAATTTTTTCAGAATTTTTTAGTACCGTATTTTCTCATGTTGGTAAAAATAGTTGCCGATAAGAAAATGCAGTATTAAAAAGTTGGTAAAAAATTCTGAAAAAAATTCTTAGAGCTCTATGAAAAGAAAATAAATAATTTTTGTCTCTGATTTTTGGGAAGTTGATAGTACTTGAGTAAAAAATTATTGAAAAT